AATGGAAGATAGATGTAGATGTCTATGGGCCGCAGCAACCACTTACCATCAGGTGGACTGTGTGCTCGTTTGTCACCCTATCCTATAAAAAAAAATAAAAAAAAGGGGAGTGTATTGTCTGAGGTTCAAGAAGATATTATTTTAAGCTATTGCATAGCTTCCATCGCGGGCCTTGAGCTCGGGGACCGAATCTAGAAATTCCGTAACGAAAAAAACCTCACGCTCCCCACTCCGACGGGCACGAAGGTGTGGCGTTGAAAGCCGTGCATCGTTTAACGTCGTTATAGTTCGGCAGACTTCGGCACTCGGCAGACTTCGGCACGGTGTTTGTGTGCGTGTACACTAGCTGCTAACTCAATGATAAAAATTCCTGAATAACTTACATGTATTGTAAGATATTAAAAATATTTTAAACAATATTAACTTCTCATTTATTCAATAAGAGAAAAAAAATTGTTTTCTTATCGGTCACCACGCTCAAAAAGTGTAACTTGATTTAATATCAAAAACTTAACTGCATAAATAAAATAAATAAATAATTATAATTGCATAAGTTGATAAAAAATGCTATGCAATAGCTTTACCGCGGCAGTCACCGAGTGCCACACGTATTTTTTAGCTGTAAATGCTCAAACTTGTATCTTCTCTGGATGGACTAGATTTAGTCGCCCAATCCAAGATTTTGTCCAGCAAAGACTCAACTTCAGACACAAGTTTGTCCGGCACTCGGCGACGTTTTCCTTAGAAATATTGGCATGGTTGGTATATAGAGTGCCAGTGCTGTCATCCGCATAGCAAGGGATGTTACCGGCTTGCAATATAATATGATATGCAAAAGAAACAGCATTGGTGACAGCACGCAGGCCAGTGCTTAGCCTTAATAGGCGTGTAATGGGAGCATGCACCGTATAAAACCAATCTGATGCTCCAATGTGTAAGAAAGCTGGTGATCCAATTGCTCAGTTTCTCGGGAAGCCCATAGAAAGGGAACTACGAAAGAAACACTTCGTGCGAAACCCGATCAAAGGCCTTTGCAATGTCCTAACTAACGGCCAGTTCCTCCCTCTAGGACTCTACTGCCTGCACCCATCTATGAGTAAGGTAGACCAGAAGACCATCAGCTGAACAAATCTTACGAAAACCATATTGACGGTCACTAATCAGCTGGTGATCCTCAAGGTACTACATGAGCTGGCAGTTTATAATGGATTCTAATAATTTAGAGAACAAAGAGGTGTTGCGATAGGTTTGAAGTTAGACGGATCTCATCGGTCGCCTTTTTTAGTGATCGGGTGGATGAAAGTTGTTTTACGTGATTTCCGAAATACGCCAATCGAGAAGGAATAACGGAAAAGTCGCGTTAGAATCGTTGTCAACTCTGGAGCACACGTCCTTAACACAATTGACGAGATTCTGTCGGGCCCACTCGACTTGTGGATTTCCAGGGAGATGAGTGTTTTGCGAACCGATCGCTGAGTGAACCGCACATCTGGTATGGAGTACTCACACCGCAAGAGACGCAAAGAAGGAGCCTAGCAGATCGTCTTTCTTCTTTGCGTCTTGGGCCAGTGAGTTATCCACCCTGTGCAGAGATGGAAGAGATAGTATGGTAATCTTACACATCAGACAACTTTCACGTGAAATCGCTTGCAAACTGTTCAACTTAATTTAGTTTGCTTCATCGATAACAAATTGCATTGTTCCGTCCAAGTTTCCGTTACGATGTGATTTGACCAACACAGTTTGCTTAAGGGCTGTGAAATAATTTGTATATTGTGAGATAAAACTGTGTAGGTACCTTAGTGAGACCCATATTGAGTGGTAAGAGAACACACTATATATATTTTAGTGTTGTCTCATTTCATCAACCATACCTTCACCTCTAGGATCTACCATCCATCAGGTTGAATCACAGGGGACCGTGAAGATGTCCATGCTCAAACGTGGTCTTTCGAGCCGGATGGGAGCGCAGGAAACAGCAGGAGGCCGCGGGAAGCGGAGCAAGATGACATTATCAAGAGGCCGCGGGGAGCAGGGGGGCCGTGATGTCAATGTGCTGACATCACGAGCCCGAAGACAGGAGGCTACGGAGAGCAGAGGCAGCAGGGGGCCGTTACTTCAACCTACCGACGTTAAGAGCCAGAAGACAGGAGGCCGCGATGAGTGGAAGAAGCTGAGGTGCCGCGACGTGAACGTGCCGACGTTACGACCCTGAAGACAGGAGACCGATGGGAGTGGAGGAAGCTAAGGTGCCGTGACGTCAACGTACCGACGTCACAAACCCGAAGACAGCAGGTCAACAATCGTCACTATTGTTCTATAGGAGCGGAATGTTCAACGTAATTTAGTTTGCGTCATCGATAACAGATGACGTTGTGCGGTGTTTGTGTCGCGATGTGGTTTTACCAACACGGTTTGCTTAAGGATCGTTAAATAATTTATTTATCTGTGATCTAAAGTGTGTTCATTAGTGGGATTCATTGTGTGTGGTAAGAAACGAAACTTTCATCCACCCTGGTGGATCCAAGGGTGGATCCCAGTGGACCATTAGCATGACCAAGCTCAAACACAAACTCTATAATTGCTTAATCTCTCAAATGCCGAGCGTCCAAATTTGACTGCTTCGATTTTCCGTCAAAATTCAAGAAGTCAAATTTGACCGCACCCACCCACAGCACTTTAAGCCATAAATACTAATTTTTAGAGACTATTTTTATGAAAGAAATTTGGTATCATAGAATCAATATGAAATTTTCTATCCTCTAGAGGAATAAAAAACAGTTAGCCTATAGATATTAATTTATATTATACGTTCATAACATACGCCATTTTCATTTGGATGTTGTTGTTACATTTTTGGATTTTTCTAGTGTTTTACTATAGTGTTTTATTATAAAATTGTTATAAAAGTGTTTGTGTGATATAATTTATCTTTTTACGTAAATAATTTCGAGTAATATATAGAAATAATTGTGCCGACATCCGCTGGGTACGCATTTTTTTGTTATCAAAATACAATAAAATCCTTTGTAATGAAGTAAAACCTGACTTTTGTATAGACCACAAGATGGAGAATTTTGTATATATTTTATAATGCCAAACTTCTTCATAGAAAAGTAGTCTCTAAATATAAGTTTTAATGGTTTGGGTGGTGCTGTGGGTGGGTGAGGTCGCATGCGACCACTCGGGATTTGCCAGACACTTGCGAATGCATGGGAATTTTTGAGGATATAAGGGTTAAGGAATTTGAGCCATGCTACTGCAAAATATTGGCAATTTTCAAGCTATATTATTAAATATTAATAATTTATACTTTATTTGTTGAACATAGCTACTATGGTTATGATGAAAACTGGTACAGTGTTTCATAAATATAATATGCCGCAATCTTAGACATGCAAACGTTTAAAAATAATTACACCTTTTAACCTACATTAACAAGTCAATTTCTGAACATAGGCTTCAAGAAATATCATTATGCACGGTCTCGAACCATATGCATCCATTGACTTTCTGTACATCTTACCAGGTCGTCACCCTATCTGTATAAAAAAGGTATATATAATAAATAACTTATTGCTTTGAGTGGAATCATAACATTGTAATTGTAAATTTGTATAAGATTTACAAAATTTGTATACTGTTTGATTTTTAAATACTTCTTAAATAAAATTATAAATCAATATTAGTATTTTAAACTATTTATAAATATAAAATAGCCTAGAATTAATTCTAACCAAAAAGCAAAGAGTTTCTTAATCGCCAGTAATTGTTGTTTTATTTAACACGATAGCTGTGAGGTTCATAAAAGGAAACCTAGCCTACTTTAAAACTGAAAAAATATTATAAATCATATAGTTTTAGCTCACATATTACGAAATTACCATACTAAGATACCTAAAATAACAAAAGCTTATTAATTAACCTTAAATAAATGCAAAATAAAGTGGGACTGAGGCGTAAGATAACCCATTACTCCATTTTGTTCCGTGACCTTATTTAGGGTAAGTCCGGGGGAGTTGGCCGTAAGGAAGAGATAGCCACTAAAAAAAAATCATAGTTACACTTACTAGATGGCACTACTTTCTCGTTAGTTCAATTTGTGCTGTGCGTGGGAACGACATTTCGCTCCATCTCCGGTGAATAAAATCGAAAAAGTAAGTAAAATGTACCTACATTTATTTGTATATAGCCTAAAGTTTTCAAAGGGTTTACGTTATACAGTGTGGTGAAAAGACATCATAAAAAGTAAGTGCTTTTTTTAAGTTAAGTGCTCAGTTAATGACCCACACTTTAACATAACCTCAAAATGGCGCGTGGGTTGTTTATATTTTTCTACAAATAATGTGTGGCCATCTGTCCCGGCTGATTAGGAGAGATGGCCATACATAATCGGTATGAGATGACCATAAAGCCATCTCACACCTACCAAATATGTAATGCGTAATGGTGAAAGTTATATTATTATAACTTGATATATTTTTATTTATTTATGGTGCTATTATACTTATTTGGTTTTAGTATTTCATATCACAATATTTTATTTTTAGATGCCAAATAAATACCAAAGAAAAGCATGCAGCTCACGAGGGAACTGGAGTGAAGAGTCACTTAAGGCGGCCATGGACGCTGTTAAAAAAGGTGAAATGACTATCTACGCAGCTTCAATAACCTATCAAGTACCAAGGAAGACCCTCGAAAGGCGATACAAGAAAAATAATGACAAAAAAGGACCAATGGGACCATCCTCTATATTCGGCGAAAAGAATGAGAAGAAACTCGCTAACCATATTAAAACTAAGCAAAAAAATGGTTTCCCATTGACTATTAATGACGTCAGAAAGATTGCGTACCAGTTCGCGGAGCAATTGAATTTAAATCACAGATTTAATAGAGAAACTGAGAAAGCAGGATATGACTGGTTGCAAGGTTTTTTACGAAGAAACCACGATATTACATTAAGAAAGTCAGAAGGAGTATCTTTAGCTAGATCAACTGCTATGAATAAACTGGAGGTTGACGCTTACTTTGAGCTTCTTGAAAGCATATTGACAGTAGACGATGGTGTGTTGAAACCGAGTTGTATCTTCAACATGGACGAGACTGGTCTTCAGCTTAATAATCGACCAGGGCATGTTCTAGCTGAAAAGGGTACCAAGGCTGTATCTACAGTTACTTCGACTGAAAAGGGAGAAACGATTACAGTTATAGCCTGCTGCAATGCTGAAGGTACATTTTTACCACCTGCCTGTATCATGAAAGGCAAAAACAAAAACCTGAGTTTGAGGATGGGATGCCACCGGGATCGAAACTTTTCATGTCCCCAAAATCAGCGTACATTACCTCAGATTTATTTATTGAATGGTTGAAAACTCATTTTGTTCCTAGGAAACCAGCTGGAAGAGTACTTCTTTTACTAGATGGTCATTCAACTCACTGTAATTCTGTGGAAATGCTGGAATATGCAAAGGACAATGACATCACCTTACTTTCAATGCCAAGCCACACGTCTCACTACCTCCAACCACTAGATCGTACGGTGTTTAAATCACTGAAGACTCATTTTTACGAGCAGTGTCGACTTTGGCTAAAACAAAATCCTGGTCGTCGTATAACACGATTATCATTTGGAAGATTGCTTAATAAGGCGTGGGGAAAGGCAGCTTCTGCAGAGAATGCAATTGCGGATTTTAAAGCTACAGGTGTCCACCCCTTCAATCCATCTGCAATTCCCGACTACGCGTTTACCCTAGAATTGACAAAGCAAATATCTAAATCTCAAAATGAGTGTACAGCCACTGTTATGGTCGAGGAGTAAGAAGAAAATACTATTAACATAGCTTCTGCTAATCTGGAACTAGTTCCAAATACTTTCGAAGTGCGACAAGACATATCACCTGCAATCGCTGAGCCAAATAGCTCTGTTGGGCGAATAGTTTTAAACGCAAGTCCTGAGATGATTACAAGAAGGCCTAAAAAATTATTTGCTACTGCTTCAGCAAGTAATTAAAAAAATGTCAGAAAAATTCCCTCCAAGAAGCGATTTGCCAGATCTGACTCCAACACGTATTTTAAAGCAAATATCGCCAGTTCCACAAAAAATTATTGAAGTACGCAAACGTGCTAAACAGGTAAGCCTGCTTTTAACCTCAGAGAATCACATCAAAACAAGAAAATTTAAGGAAGCGATTAAAAAAATAGAGAACAAAAAAAATTCGAAAAAGACGTTAAAAAGGAAAGAAAAATTGATATAAAACCAATAAAACGAGCACCAAGAAAGAGAAAATCATTAAGAAAGTTATCTGAAAGTAGCGATGAGGATGAAGAACTAATATTATGTAATTCATCTGATGAAGAAGATGGAAACAGAGAATTGGATAACTGTGTAGGTTGTGGAGAAAATTATTACGAAACGCAACTCATCGAAGATTGAATTCAATGCGTTATATGTCAACTGTGGGTACATGAAAATTGCACCGAATTCGATGATAAGTGTTCATCAAGTGGACAGAAAAAGAAGAATGAGCTAAGGCTCAAAAACTTAAAGGGAAAAAGTGATTAAAATGTAAATTAACAAACTGGCCATCTCTCCCTTGCTTCTATATATACGATTGGCCATCTCTCCCGTAGTGCCCGGTAGAGATGGCCAATCGTGATTTTAAAAAAAAGTAAATTATGAGACTGATTATGTTAAAATGACAAAAAAATGTTGTGATTTTCTTAGAGTTTAATGTTGAAAGTTTAATAAAAAGTTGATTTTTGTTAATTAATCCTTGTAGTTTTTATTTTAATGACTTCTTTAAAAACTATGGCCAACTCCCCCGGACTTACCCTAGATATATAAATGCTTATGTACCTAATTGTAATACGTTGTGCGTAATTAATGACTCCGTATAAAAAATTGCAAAGAAAGTCTTAATAACTTCACTAAGGAGTTGTGGATAATCTTCACCGCTTCAATCGTGGAACATTCGGTAACTTAATGCGTAAGCAATAAGAAGTTTCATGCAAAGTTTATAACTGCTTCAGAAAGAGCTATGTTGCGCGGCTAGATAAAATTTCCAAACGGCAATTTAAATGGCGATAGAAGTAAAGACAAAATTACTGCATAAAAGGAAATTCCCATATTTCCATGAAAATGCAGCTAGTAGAAAGAATGCGAGAGATGATACTTGTCAAAGGTTTTACCGTTAAATGAAAAGCCTCTAACTGTTCTCACTGAATCATAGGGTTAGTTTTGGGTTTAGGTAATCTGATACTAGAAAAACTTCTTTATGAATACGGGATTGAAAAGGTACTGGTATTGTTTCATATAGGGCAGTATGGACAGCATACACAACCAAATAAAATGTATACTGGAAATAAATTAATGAAGTGATAATAAAGAGTATAATATTATATTTTATGTTAATACTTCAAGTATGTTTGTTAGAAAAATAAATGGTATATTATTTACTTGTATAATCCAAAATTAGCAAAATAAGAACACAGTTACAATTGATTACACAATGGTTTGCACATTGTTAAGCATCTAAGAAATCATAAAATATGTAATGCATTGAAAGTTCATTTTTCGAAGATTTGTTTTGAGCCAACTATCTTAGCATATTCGTTTTGTTACAGTTAATCACTTTATTAGCTTATAAATTAAAATAAGGCTAAATATACGAATTTTTGTCGCTTTAATTTAACAGTGGTAGAGCCACGCGGCAGCTTTGCTGTTGCACGTATGGGCCGGCTCAAACCGGGGTGGTACCATGACCTCACAGAATACCGGCGTGAAATGAAAGCTCTTCTTCCGCGTTTTGTCTAGTGAGTGCAGGTGGCCGGAGGCCCAAATCCCCCACCCCCCATCAACATGGTAGCGAAATTAAATAATGATAGACTACCCCAGGAGGGTACCAGCACCCCTGGAGAATCCCTCGCTGAGCATCCACGACCATGTTTCTCCACTTCTGAGCGTGGGTTCTCAGGCTGCCCCGCGTATTCTGGGGGGGGCAAAATTCCGCTCAAGACTACAACTACTCGGGGCAAACGGAGCAACAAGACCAAGGCGACCCCTGCCACGCTGTCCGTGAATTTCTGCAATATCAGGGGACTTCACTCTAACGCCTAAACCTAAACGCCGTCCACTACCATCTCGAGACGGCGAGGCCGGCTCTGCTCTTTCTGACCGAGACGCAGGTGTCCTCTCCGGCTGATGTCTCGTATCTCTTCTACCCGGGGTACAAACTGGAACACTCCTTTGTGCCTCGGGCTGGAGTTCGCGTTTACGTCAGAGAGGACATCTGTTATCGATGCCTCGGCAGACTTGAAGGTTCGGACCTGTCCATCCTTTGGCTACGCGTAGACAGCGACGACCATCCGCGCGTCTACGGGTGCCTCTATAGGTCCCATAGCGGTAATGCCGAAACAGACCGACTCTTCGACCACGTCCAAATGGCTACAGATTCGTTGCTACAGCAGATCCCCTCCGCAGAGATCGTGATCCTCGGCGACTTTAACGCCCATCACGCCGAATGGCTTGGTTCACGTTTATCGCTTGCCACCGGCGATTTTTCCGGACCGATACGACCTGGGGACTTTCAAGAAAAGAGCTTACTCCTTTCTAAAGGGCCGGCAACGCACCTGCAATTCCCCTGGTGTTGAGGTTGTTCATGGGCAGCGGTAGTCACTTAACATCAGGTGAGCCGGATGCTCGTTTGCCCCCTCTTCTATAAAAAAAATAAGGTTAAGAGGAGGTGATTAGAGTCCAAAGAGCAGTTGGCTATCGGATCATGCTAATCCAAGAAGTGCTAGGAATGAGTATAGATGGAAAATTGTGTGAGAAGTGATAGATGGATAGCCCATTCTAGTCAAACCCAATATCCCATTAGTCACATTTTAAGAAATTCTTGGCACACATTTGGTACCTTTTATTTGTTGTAACTCACCACATAAGATTTGGTACTATAAGTCCCAGATGGGATAGTGATTTATTATTATAAGCGAAAACTTATATTGCTGTGTAGTGACGGCGTAAGACAATCCACTACGCCACACTATCCTGTGAGTGTCGTAAGAGGCGACAGAGGGAAACTGAAATGGGAGATAGGCAACAGCGCCTTCCTCTCTTAATAACTCAATAGCTATTATAAAGACTGCGGTTGAAAATCCATCTGCCAAACAATAAGCAATCTGTATAGGGGACATAATATATGTTTAGCTGTGAACTTTTGATGGGCAATAATGAAATAATATAATATTTTGTATTTAACGTGACAGTCTATATATACCTCCCTCTGCTCGTCACAGGCCTAATCTCATTTCTGGAAGGGTTTAAGGACAAGGAAGTATCCACTGCGCTGCCCCAATATGTGTTGGCGAACTTCACATGTCTTCGAAATATTTTTTTGCTTATTTCTCAGACATGCAGGTTTTCTCATGATATTTTCCTACACAGCCAAGCACGTAAAAAATAAGCATAAAAATTTTACAATTAATAATTTTATTGGTGCCGTCAGGGATCGGAACCGGGTTGCTCACGTCCTGTAAAATTTAATTATAATATTAAGTGTTAACAACGTATTTTGTGGCATTTCTTGGGACAGGCCTATGTATAGCAGTGTTGTCATGGGTAATGATGATGAAGCATACAATTATAGTGTGAGTTTTAGGCCTCTCCTTTTCCGTCAACGATTAAATATACATTTAAACGCATTTGAAGAAGCTCGAGTTTAAGCAGGGAGAATATGCCGTATTCGCGAGGCTTTGCCGGCGAATTGGTAAAGAAATGCTAGGTCCTAATGACTTTTTTCTCTAATTTTTTTCCTGGCTTCAACATTATTTATCAAATACTTAAATATTACAGACACAAAGGTAGCTGTATCCTTCTAGGACAGAAATGTTATGGATTGTTCAACAACTTAGCTATTATTAACGGTTGTGGTTTGAAGCGATTGACATTTAATTACGACGTTAGCACTGACATAATATAATTGCTGTAGATCAATTAAAACACCCCTTAAATGCTTATTTTTAATGGAGACCATTTTCGTATATATATTTCGATTCATTCAATTTCGTATTGCCGGTGTCGTAAGGGGAGACGATTGGAAAAAGATCTTATATCTTCCGACAGATAGCGATATAAACATCGTGTTAAAAACAGACGTAAAATAACTCGATCGACGACGAGAGGCTGCGTCTAAAGCTCAAAACATCTTGCACTGCGATGGCAAATTTCCCTTCCACACGTAACGATTGATGTGATCCTCCTCTACTATGGGAGAGACCCATATACAGTAGTGGACTTTCACCGGCTGATGAAGAATATGAAGGGAATTTAGACAGGAAACTATATTATTTGTTAGTGAAATAAGTGTTTATATAGCCTACAAATAATTGTTGGATGTTGTACAATTCATGTATGTTAAACGTTTCCACGGTAAAGAAAAAAGTGAGGGAACGTTTTCGATAATAAGAAAAAAGGAGATCAAAATATTTGCAATAACTAATAGTTTTATGTAGGTATGAAGTCACACATAAGTCACAGTAGGCAAGAGCCACACGTATTTTAATTGCAGGACGAATGGGACGGCTTGACCGGGAAAGAACCTCGCCCGCACAGAATACCATTTGGAAATAGCATCGTTATATTGCTGTGGTGCATATTGTTAGTGATTTGAACATGAAACCCTTCACTGGTGAAATCGATCCTCATACAGATTCTTATTCGCGGTTAAATTTCAAAGGCCGTGCAATTTTGAAACTTTCCAAATTCTTAAGGTGCAGTTACACGAGCAATTTTTTGGGCAACAATTATCTCGCAACAGTTGC